GTATTGCATGTTTTAAAAATTCTTGTGGCACACCGGTTGAAAATCACTGGCCTAGAGTAAAATAGGTTTCATTACATGTCATTTCACTGAAAATTACAGAAAGTATTTATGATTTTAAATAAAAACCTATTGTACTCTGAAAAGATTTACAGAAAGAGAATCAAGACCCAGAATGGAGTAAGAGAATTATCCAACTTAGAAGTTAATATCCGAGCTAGGGCTAGAAACCCACATCAATCACCGTAGACTGGAACCATGGCTTTTTTCCTCCACCGTCTACACTAGAGCCAATTTAAAACTTGAGTTTTATCTATGAACTTGAGTAAATCCATAAAACATTAGGCTATTTGTCTTTGGCATCCTATCAATCATTATGTTATTTTCTTTAGATACAGTACCCTTAGATACAGTACTCTTAGATTCTGTTCAGATAGTCTTTCCAGATGTTCCATTCCCATAACTTTCTAAATTATAAAAACAAATCATCTCTTATCATAATTTACCTGTTCTATATGCTGTCCTTGTTTCCTCTCTGTAGTAATGACCAGTGATAAACTAACCAGATTAAATAATAAAGTCCATAATGCTTACCTAAGTTGGTTCACAGGAAGATGATTAATTTTAGGCATCAGGGAATAGAATCAGGGATATAATTTTTGTCAAGGGCTCTCTTTAAGAATTCTTTAAATAATATCCAGATTGTCTATAGGGTGAAAGTGCAGTAAAATGTTTCAGAGCATTTGACCTTATATATTCTACCAAATTATACAGTCAAATACTTAGAAAAAAATCAGGAGAAAATTAGATAAGGAACTAAAACTGAAAGTAAATGAAAGGTGCTAATGTCCACATCTCAAGATAGTATAATCTGGAATGTGTTACTTTTTTCTTATTTTTTATTGTTGAAAGTATTACAGATGTCCCTCTCCTACCCACTCCTGCCCAGCCCCACCTTCACCACACTCTCGTCTGTGTCCATCGGTTATACATATATGTATATAAGTTCTTTCGTTTATCTCTTCCCGCCCTTCCACTCTCCTTTCCTCTGAGGTTTGTTAGTCTGTTGCATACTTGATGACTCTGGATCTATTTTGTTCATCAGCTTATTTTGCTCATGACATTCCACAAATAAGTGAGATCGTGTGATATTGGTCTTTCTCTGATTGGCTTATTTCACTTAGCATAATGCTCTCTAGGTTTCTCTATGTTGTCTCAAAGGGGAAGAGATTTCTTACAGCAGCATAGTACTCCATTGTGTAAATATACCACAGCTTTTTTATCTACGAATCTACTAATGGACACTTGGGCTGTTTGCAGATCTTAGCTATTGTAAATAGTGCTGCTATGAACACAGGGGTGCATATATTCTTTCTGATTGGTATTTCAGGATTCTTAGGATACATTCCTAGAAGTGGGATCAATGGGGGAAGGGGCAGTTCAATTTTTAATTTTTTGAGGAAACACTGTTTTCCATAGTGACTGCACCAGTCTGCATTCCCACCAGCAGTGTACTAGAGTCCCCTTTTCTCCACACCCTCGCCAGCACTTGTTGTTTGATGATTTGTTGATGGCAGTCATTCTGGCAGGTGTGTCGTTTTAGTTTGTATCTTTCTGATCATTAGTGACATTGAGCATTTTTTCATGTCTCTTGGTCATTTTTATGTCCTGTTTGGAGAGGTGCCTATTTACGTCCTCTGCCCATTTTTTAATTGGATTGTTTGTCTTCCTTTTGTTGAGATGTATTAGTACTCTTTATCTTTTGGAAATTAACCCCTTTTCTGATGTATCATTGACAATTATGCTCTCCCATATAGTGGGTTCCCTTTTCATTTTGATGCTTCTTTTGCTGTGCAGAAGCTTTTTAGTTTGATGTAATCCCATTTATTAAATTTTTCCTGTTTTTCTTGCCCTAGGCAATGTATCAGCAAAAATTCTGCTACGTGTGATGTCTCAGATTTTGCTGCCTACATTTTCTTCTAGGATTTTTATGAGGAAACCAAGAGTTTTCTGTCAGTCAGGTCCCTGAGACAGTGGGACAGATGGTCCTACCCCTAAGCCAGTCACGGACACTCGCTGAGCCTGTTCAAACCCAAGGTTTGGCCCCCTACTGCTATCTCCCCTGCAAGATCTACGGTGTGTGGGAGGCAGTGTTCCTGAGGGTGCGGTTTTCTCACATACCTGAGCTGTGGCTTCTGGGAGGGCTAGGGCCTCTCAGGAGAAATGGCTGCTTTTGTTTGGAGGAGGCACAATCAGATTCAGGTCACCCAGTGGCCACTTTCCCCCATCCTTCCATAATGCTTTCCACCCCAGCCTCTCCTCAGGCACCTCCAGTCTGTACCACCCTCCCTCCATGGAAGCCTCAGGTGAGTAGCTGTAAATAAAAACCTGTGCTCTGGGTTTAAAAAACAAACAAACATAAAAATAATAATAATAATAAAAAAAAAAACCTGTGGCTTTATCTCCGACTAGCTTGGTCTTCTTGGTGGCCAGAACCCTTTTGCCTTTCACGGCTGGATGTTACATGGGCGTAGTTTGCGGCTCTGGTGCTCTGGACTGAGGTGCCTAGCCCGGGGACCAGGCCTCGATCCTCTCAGGGAAACGCCCCCCACCCAGGCTGAAGCTGAGAGATTCCTCCTCTCTCTCAGCCTGCCAGACCCTCTTGCACTCTTGCCCCTCCTACCAGACTCTAGGTGTTTTCTGTTCTTCCTTTTTATGTCTCCTCTTCAGCTGAACCTCAGCTGGTAATTCTGAGTGAATGTTCCCCTATTTAGTTTTATTTCCAGTCTGGCCCTGGGAAGACATGCAAGACAGGTCTGCCTATATGGCTGCCATCTTCCACCAACCCTGCCTGGCTAACCTGGCATGTGTTACTTTTCAATTATTGAATCACTCATCAAACTAAAACTAGAAATGCAATTTATACTAACAAGGTAAGAGTTCACAGGTTGTGCAGCTCTTAGTCTAAGAGAGACAGAAACATCGATGTGATAAATACACCAACTGGTTGCCTCCCCGAATGACCCTGACCACGAGGCTGCAACCTAGGTAAGTGCCCATGACCAGGAATCAGACCTGACACCCTTGGATCCGAGGGCCCATGCTCTAACCACTGAGACAAACCAGTCAGGGCTGAACATTTATTTTTAGATCAGAACCATTTACATTTCTAGATTTAAGTAGGCCATATTCACAATTAACAATTTTTATTGAATTTAAAAGAACAAAAGCTACGATTCCCACCAATGGAAAATGAGATAACTCTATTCCATAGATATTTTAGTCAGTAATACTCTCTTCTATGCCTCTCTAGGATGTTCGAATATAATCCAAGTTACCCTTTCAGTAAAAGGACAAAGCATCAATTATAAACAAAATGGAAGATTACCACACCGAGGTCATACCATATAGTCAAGTACCAAGAAAGTTAAATAGGTTTAACTGAAACTTAGCAATAGAGTGATTTCTCACTTCATTAACCAGTGAAAATAATCTTCATTTACACACATCCTCATTTACAATAGAAAACAGATGAATGGTGAATACTTAGCAAAAAAGTCTCCATAATTGCACTTTGAATGCCTTTATGACTTAACAATGGAAAGATTTTCTAAACAGATCTGCTCTTCAGTAGAAGTTAATGAAATATTAACACTCTTTCATGGATCAATCATGCAGTAAGTATCGAAAAAACACTTTACCTACTTAACATAGATTAGTAGTATACTAGCTAAAATATAACTTGGTCATTTCTCCACATTTGAGACTGGCATAGCAGAAAATTGCAAGCATTTGTTCATTTTAGTTGGGTAAAACAGAGCTATTTCTGGGGAGATGGAAAGTTGTACAGTTGGCCATCAAATGCTTTTCCCCAAGGTTTTTGGCCTTCTAGTCTTTTTTTGACCTGAGGACTTTTTTGTGTCCCTACCTCCTATGTTATATACCCAACTTCCACTGTTCTGGAAGTTATTTGCGTTGGCTAGGCAAAACATTTTATTCCAACATTTATTTCTACTTTATTTCTTTCTGTTATTAAAGAGTTTTTGCTTAAGATAAAAGGACAAATATATTTAACTAGGGCTTATGGTATTTGTAATGAGTTGATTCCATTTTGTTTTGTTATTTTTTTTGTAAGTTACTTTTAAACTGTAGGCTAAGATTCTCAAAAAGCAATCAACAATCCTATGAAAAATATAAATGATATTAAGGCCATGTAAAGTAATATTTTAAAATACAGTGCACCAAGGGTAGAGTAGAAATAGGAGAATCGTTTAAAATATGTTTCACGCCCTGGCCAGTTTGGCTCAGCGGTTAGAGCTTGGCCTGCGGACCTGGCAGTTCTGAGTTCGATTGCTGCTAAATGAACGTACCTTGGTTGCAGTCATCCCCCGTCCTGGTTGGGGTTGTACGGGTGGCAACCAATCGATATGTCTCTCTCACGTCGATGTTTTTCCTCTCTCTCTTCCTCCTTCTTTCCCTCCCGCTCTATCTGAAGATAAATGCAAAAATATCCTCGGGTGAGGATAAAAATAATAAAAGAAAATAAAATGTATTCAATTTCATTTGAAGTATGAAAGGTTAAATGTCTCTGAGTCTTAACAACAGTGATCTAGCAAAGAAAAAATTTTAAAACTGAACAAACCTAATTTCTTTAATGTTGTTATTTTTTCTAGTTATATTGGAAAATTATTAATTTTTTTTAATTTCAGGAATTCGAATAATAGTGATTAAATTACTGGGTAAAAATTCCAACAACAACCTAAATTTAAAAACTGATGAATGCAGAATAAAAGTTAACTGCATCTGTGCTTGAACAGCAAAAACAAACACAAAACATAAAAATGCACTGTCACCCTGCCAGTATGGCTCAGTTGGTTGAGCACTGTCCCATGTACCAAAAGGTTGCTGGTTTGATTCCTGGTCAGAGCACATGCCCAGGTTGTGGGCTTGATCGTGGATGAGGGGGCATGCAGGAGGCGGCCAATCAATGTTTTCTCTCACATCAATTTCTCTCTCTCTGTTTCCCCTTCACCCTTCCTCTCTCTCTAAAAATAATATATATATATATTAAAAAAATAACATTGTCCATTGTATGACACTAAATGAGGTGTTTTGGCTATGGAAGCATGTTAAGTAAACATCATGTTTTACCTGCTTTTATTTTTATGCATCACATGTGAATGCAGAGATTTAAAACAACTTTGAGTTAAAAAGAAACCAAAACCTTTATTCTATACTTTCTTCTGTAGTACTTTGTTGCTAGATTGTATTTTTGAGGAAAATGTTTCATATACAACAAGCTAATGCTAGCTTGGTCAAAGTCATCTACAAAAAAAAGTGTCCCTGAATACTTTTCAACATAATATACAAAACTGTAAAATATGTCACGGTGGAAACTCTCTGGATTCTTAAAGTGTTAGAAAATATAGCATGGCAAAAGAAAGCATTATATATAAATAGCATTTAAGCATTTTGTAATATATAGTGTTCTTCATGTGACTGGAGTGCAAATTATCTACATATACACATGAAAATTTTCAGAAGCACGTGAAGTAAACAAAAGCACCTGTTCCTTATATTACACTTGATCACGTAGACGAGCAAGTCTCTGTGATAGTTCATCCTGAAGAAAGAAAATTTTAAGTCAGAAGGCTGTGACAAATATAAATCACTAATACTTTAAATAGCTCACATTTTAAATAAGATTAAAATACTGTCTCAAAAATTCACACAAAAACCAACATTAACAATATACTTTTTTAAACATTTCAGAATAAATGAAGAACTAAATAAAGCAGAAGCTATGAATGAGAGCAAATTCAATCTTTAAATGAAATGTGCATGCAGCAAATAGAAAATGTGCATCACTGAGTAAAGACTAATCACAATTTTCTAATTTATGATGTCATATAGTAAAAGTATTCTTTATAAAAGAAAAAAGTATATATACACTTACTTATATATAAATATACATACAATATATGTTTAATTCACACATCAAGTTCATACCAATGAAGATAAAATACAACTTCTACCTGTTCCGTGGAAGCAACACTGGTGCCAACAGATCCTGTCTGACCCTGTGGTAATTCCATATTGAGATCAAGGCTACAATTTAAAAATGAATGTTAATATAGGCATTTTGCTCCTTATGTAATTATAAAAGCAATAAAATAGATTTATTCGAAATTTGAATATTCCACCTGGCATTTTGCCTTAATTTAAATAAAAATAAAACTGGTAAATTTTATAAATGTAAATAGAAAAGCAAATAAAAGGCAAGAAAATGATTAGTCATCTGAACAAAAGACCAAAATAAAAATCATACAATGTATTCAATTTACTGGGGTTACTATATGACTCCTACTATAAAGGAAATTTAATATGCCAAAAAACAGACAAAACAGAGTAGATAAATGTAGCCTCAGGATTCATATCTAATATTTGAGCTAACATTTAGTTCACTGTGTCTAACTCCTGAGCTACCCGTAGCAGGAATCATTACTTGCATCCACCTTATACAACTGAATTTTAGAAAAATTAAGTTCATTTGCCCAAGATCCACCCTAGTGATAAATAGGATTTGAACCCAGAATTTTCTACCTCCAAGGCCTGTGATTTTAATCTATATTGTACCTACTCCTCTAGGATATAAACTAGCCTTTCTGCCTGTATCTAGACTAGTGTATGCCAACTTCATTTTGAAAACACTACAGGGAATATAGTAACTTTAAAAGCCATTAGCAGAGTCTCAATGGGCAAAAACTAAAAGCATTTCCCTTAAGAACAGGAACAAGACAGGGATGCCCACTTTCCCCACTCTTATTTAACATAGTACTGGAAGTCTTAGCCACACCAATTAGACAAGAAGGAAAAATAAAAGGGATCCAAATTGAAAAGGAAGAAGTGAAACTATCATTATTCACAGATGACATATTGTACATAGAAAACCCTAAAGACTCCAAATCAAAAATCTACTAGACCTAATAAATCAATTTGGCAAAGCAGCAGGATACTACAAAATTAACATCAAGAAATTGATGGCACTCTTATGCACCAATAATGAACTCACAGAAAGAAAAACTAAAAAAAAATCCCATTTAACATTACAGCAAAAAAAACTAAGATACCTAGGAATAAACTTAACTCAAGAAGGACCTGTTCTCAGAAAACTACAGGACATTGAAAAAAGAAATAGAGGAAGATATAAAAAAGTGGAAGCATATACCTTGTTCATGGATTGGAACAATTAACATCATTAAATGTTCATACTACCCAAAGCAATCAATAGATTCAATGCAATCCCCATTAAAATACCAATGACATATTTCACAGGACTAGAACAAATACTCGTTCATATGGAACCAAAAAAGACTCCGAATAGCCACAGAAATCTTGCAAAAGAAGAACAAAGTAGGAGGGATCACAATATCGGATATCAGGTTATACTACAAAGCCACTGTAATCAAAACAGCCTGGTACAGGCACAAGAACAGGCATATAAATCAATGGAACAGAACAGAGAACCCAGAAATTGACCCAAGACATTATACTCAATATTTGACAAAGGTGGCAAGAGCATACAGTGGAGTAAAGACAGCCTCTTCAATAAATGGTGTTGGGAAAAATGGACAGCTACACACAAAAAAATGAAGCTAGACCACCAACTTACACCATACACAAGAATAAACTCAAAATTGATAAAAGACTTAAACGTGATTCGTGAATCCATACAAATCCTAGAAGAAAATGTAGGGAACAAAGTTTCAGACATCACACACAACAGAATTTTCACTGATACAACACCTAGGGCAAAAGAAACAAAGAGAAAAATGAATAAAAGAGACTACATCAAACTAAAAAGCTTCTGCACAGCAAAAGAAACAACCATCAAAAAAGAAAGGGAACCCACTATATGGGAGAGCACAATTGCCAATGATACATCAGATAAGGGGTTAATTTCCAAAATATACAGAGTGCTCATACAACTCAACAAAAGGAAGACAAAGAACCCAATTAAAAAAATGGGCAGAGGACCTAAATAGACCCCTCTCCAAACAGGACATACAAATGGCCAAGAGACATATGAAAAAATGCTCAATGTCACTAATCAGAGAGATACAAATTAAAACGACTATGAAATATCACCTCACACCTGCCAGTATGGCTGCTGTCAACAAATCATCAAACAAGTGTTGGCGAGGGTGTGGAGAAAAGGGGACTCTAGTACACCGCTGGTGGAAATGCAGACTGGTGCAGCCACTGTGAAAAACAGTGTGGTGTTACCTCAATAAATTAAAAATTGAACTGTCATTTGACCCAATGATCCCACTTCTAGGAATATAGCCTAAGAAGCCTGAAACACCAATCAGAAAGAATATATGCACCCCTATGTTCATAGCAGCACTGTTTACAATTGCTAAGATCTGGAAACAGCTCAAGTGTCCATCAATAGATGAGTGGATCAAAAAGCTCTGGTACATTTACACAATGGAATACTATGCAGCTGTAAGAAAGATCTCATCCTTTGAGATGACATGGAGGGACCTGGAGAGTATTATGCTAAGCGAAATAAGCCAATCAGAGAAGGACAGGTATCACGTGGTCTCACTTATTTGTGGAATATAATAAACAAAGTAAGCTGATGAACAAAATAGACCCAGAGACATAGTAGTGGGGTACAGACTGACAACCCTCAGAAGAGGAGGGAAGAGGGAAGAGATGAATCAAAGAATTTATATGCATGTATGAGTAACCAACGGACATAGACAACAATGCTGGGGTGGGGGTGGGATCGGGAGAAGGGTGTCAATTGGGGAAAAAGGAGAAACATCTGCAACAAAAATAAATTAATAAAATATATATACATTAAATTTTTTTAAAAGTCAACAGCAGAGTCTATAAATGGTTACTTAAAAGGTAAAGAAATGCTATACTAAAATTTTGTTCAGAGAATCATGAACTCAAACAGAATTTGGATACTTAAAAATCTTTAAAGATGGGAATCAGTATTTCTACATCAGCTATGCTACCTATTTCTACTGCTCCAGTTACTATCCATTATTGACATAACTAATTGCTCTTGATTTTGACCCCCAACCTCCCCCCCCCCATTGATGCTTCCCCAGAAACACTCCACAATGTCTGGATGCACTTTTGACTGTCACAGTGGGGTAGGGACATTATCTTATGGGTATAAGCCAGGGGTGCTGTTAAACATACTACAATGCATCGGACAGCCCCCAGGATTACGTAGCCCAAAATGTCAATAGTGTCGAGGTTGAGAAATCCTGCTCTAAATTTTCTCAAAAAGTTATCTACTGAACTTGATTTCCACTGAGGGTCAGCAAGACTGTAACATGGCAATCTTCATTTTACAAGACCTCCTATGCTATACTTTCAAGCCCAATCTTCTTTAGTTTTGATAAGAACAGAAACACGTCCTTAGCTTCATATTATTAAGATGGGATTGTCTGACACACAATGCTTTGGTTTCTTAACTACTTAACAAAAATCACTTTTCTTCCTAATTTCACTGTTGGTACATGGACTACATCAGGATGCTAACAAAACAAAATAGTACCACCTAACTGCCAGTCCTATTCTCAATATTGTAAACCTGATTTATTACCTTGGGTTTTAATTCACTATTGACAAATTAGTTATCTAAACAGCTGATAAACTTAACTGTTCATTGTAATCAGGTATTAGCTTAGACACTAAAATAATATTCACCAACTCTATTTTCTAGGTGTCTTCAATTCTTCTCTTTCCAGGAGAAAAGGATAGAGTACATAAACCCTATTTCAATCTATTATTCTACCTTTAAGCATAAAGTATAAAACTTCAGTATCACCCAGTTTGAATCTTTATTTTTGAAAAAATATATTTTTATTCTTCACATAAAATGGTCTCTTGTACTAAATACAGTGGAACCTCGGTTCTCAAACTTCATTCATTTTGGAAGGCTGTTCCAGAAGTGATGTTTGAAAACCAAATCATTTTTTCCCATTAGAAAGAATGTAAATTGAATTAATCCATACCTGACCCCCAAATGATCCCCCAATTTAACCTTTCTCAATTGCCTGTGATTGTTGTTTCATGAGCACTTTCACACCCTTAACAACATTAGCACTCTCGATGGCCTCTTTCTATCATACTTTGCAATTATTTTTTTAAGCTCTACTGTTGTTTTCACAACTTTTCTTTTCACTTTGCTGCTTTCACTAACCTTCTTAGGACTCATGGTGACTTACTGTAAGTATTTAATAATAATAAGCAACAACAAAAGCAAAGAAAAAAAACAACACAAAAACATTCACAGCAAAATTTCCTGAGATATTGCAAGGTTTAGCAGTAGACTCACACTCGTGCATTCTCTCCTTTGTCACTCGAGAGACGTGTAACTCATCATACAGGTATCAGCATGAAAGGGTTGTTGGGTTGAGAACTGAAGTTTTGTTCATCAACTGAGACTTTTTTTTGTCTGTGAAAAACTTGGTCAAGAACTGAACTGTTCGAGATGGGAGACGTTCAAGAACTGAGGTTTGATTGTAATGTACTAGAGAATACTGACATAACATGATTTCTATAGCAGATATCATTTTCAAATCATTCCTCTCAAACATGAAGGGCCCAAAATAAACAGCCTATTAACAGATACCCTATTTCTAATAACAGTATGACAAAGGGTGTCAATTATTTACTTAAAAAAATATATATGACCATTTGCAATGATGCCATCTTTTAGAACCTTGGACATTTTGCACATACCACTCAGTTTGCAGAATTCAAAATAGGTTTAACACTTAATGGCCTAATCACAGAATTCTTATGGAAGATATGTTTTATAAAAAGAATGCAAATATTTTCTATATGCTATATTTGATATTTATAGAAGGTATTGAGAAAATGTTTAAACTTGCCTGCATCTCTCAATTACCTTCCTCCATTTCTTATCACATAATAAATGGATGTATTGCCAGATATTTTTAAGAAAATATTAGAATGATCTGAACAAAGTCACATTTTTATGAACATGCCAAAGAGATGGATGATATTTTAAAGGCCCTTCCAACACTAACTTCTAGGGTCAAAAACCTAACTCTGACCATTGGTGGTAATGACAAATATTTTTATCCACATTAGATAATTTTAGGATCTCCAGATATTAAATCAAGATTAACTAAAACCCCTGAATAACTTCTTACCCGGCTTCATCTGCCATTTCTTGAAGCAGCATATCCACCTGGCCCTAGAACAAGAATATGAGAATTTATATTTTAATGATATTTGCTTTTTGGGTGCTTTCTGTTTCTGATTTTGCTATAAAAGGGGGAAACTGGTCCACAGTTTTTAAAAGAAAACATTTTAAAAATATTTACCACCAGAGGAAGCGAACTTATTTAAAAAAGATTTATTTCTGAAGAATGTTAAATAATAAAGCCTTAAACTATGAGGTTATGTTAAAAATATCAACATGGATGGCCCTGGAGAACATTATGGTAAGTGAAATAAGCCAGTGAGAGAAAGACAAATAGCATATGATTTCACTTATATGTGGAATTTAATAAACAGACTGAACTACCAAGCAAAACAGAGACAGACTCATAGATAGAGATCAGTCACACAGCTCTGGTGGGGGAGGGCAGGTGTTGGGTTGGGGACGGTGGAGGGATTGAGCAAAAAGAGAGAGAACTCATGGACATGGATAACAGTGTGGTTATTGTGGAGTGGAGGGGGCAGTGAAGGTGGAAGAAGGCATAGAGGGGATAAATGGTGATGGAAAAAATAAAATAAAATAAGTTGAGCTCCCAGGCACTTATATACTATATATATATATACTTTTATATATATATATATTAGCAGTGATGTTCACATATAATTTGAAATTTGGGCAATGCAGCTTTTTTAACAAGGTGAACCAATTTACAAAGCTCTTTCCTAACCCACTTTGCTTGTATTTGAAGTGTAATATATTTGAATTTTATATTAATCATAATTGTTCTTTCTGCTAGTTTATACAACTTTGATATTAAGGATTACCCTTTAAAAATATTTAGACATGAAGGTGATGGAAAAATAAACTTTAATTTAAAAAACAAAACAAAAATATTTTTATGAAAAAAATATTTAGAGATTAATAAAATATAAGTATATTGAGATATTTACCACAGTAGAGGAGTTTTCAGGAAATAGAGTCTGATTAATCAAAACAACTCTTATTTTTAACTTAGTTGTTAAAAAATATTTTGGACATACTGATGGGAGTTCTAAGATGTAGTCCCAGCTCTACCATTAACAAGGTATATAATTTTAAGCAACTCACTAATCTTGCTGTTGGGCCTTAGTTTCTCTTGTTGACTTCCATTCACTTTTTAATTTTTATTTATTTTTTTCCTTTTTATTGAATTTATTTGGGTGATTCCAAAATAGATTACTTACGTGCATTTACATTTTGTTGTCTTTATTTTGTTTTTAAAATGGCATTATTTGTTTTAAAATTTACTTAACAGTATTATACTGCATACTACTTTATATCTAAAATGGCATTATTTGTTTTTAAAATTTTCTTAGTATTATACTATGCATACTACTTTCTATCTAAAATAGTATTGTGTTTTTAAATGTTATTTAATAGAATTATACTATGCATTCTATTCTGCAACTTGCTTTTCTTATTCAACCTGGTAAGATCTAATTATGTTGAGATCTACTTCATTCATGTTCACTCCTATATGACACAGTATAGAAATACAGACTTTTCCCTTCTAATTTCTCCCAATTATAGACTATGGCACCATGAACATTCTTATGTATAAGTATCTTTGTACACACATAGGGGTTTCTTTATGTATGAATCTAGAAATAGAAGTACTAGCTTATAAGTTACATGTATTTTCACATACTCTGATTTACTCAACAAATACTGGGAATCTATTTTATATCAGATATCATCTTAAGTGCTAGGAATGTACCACTGAACAAAAATGATAAAAATCTCTGCCTTTTGAGAAAGAGAAAGGAAGAGGGAGACAGGATTGGGGGGAGAAGGAAAGAGGGGAGAGGGTGAAAGAGAGAAGTATCGATTTGATGTTCCACTTCCTTATGCATTCATCCATTGATTCTTGTATGTGCCCTGACAAGAGATTGAACCCACAACCTTGGCATATCGAGACGATGCTCTTACCAACTGATCTACCCAGTTAGGGCTATCTCTACCTTCTTTAAGCTTATATTCTAGTGTGTGCATGTGAAGTGGAGAAAACAAAAAGTTTTAAAAATTATATGGTATATTAGAAGGTGTACTATGAAGAAAAATAAAGCAGGGGTGTAGGGAGTATACGGAATAATGGGTGTGCTGTTGATGTACTCTGAAGTTGGATGGTTAGGAAGACCTCACTGAGAAAAATGACAAAAGAACTGAAAAAGGTGGGGGAGTAAGCAATGAGGATATCTGCTAGATGGAGGAAGAACTTTCAGGCAAAGGAAACTACAAGAGGAACGGCTTTGAGGCAGAAATAAATATACTTGGTGTGTTTGAGAATTAACAAGGAAGCCAAGTGCCTGAGTAGAGTGCTAAGCAGTAATAGGAGATGAAGTCAGAGAAGCAGGGAGAGGCAGATCCTATAGGGCATTACAGGCCATTGTAAAGATTGAGCTTTATTTTTAGGGAGATGTGGAGCCACTACAGCAGCAGTTCTCAACCTGTGGGTCGCGACCCCTTTGGGGGTCAAACAACACTTTCACAGGGGTCACCTAAGACATAACAGTAGTAAAATTAGTTATGAAGTAGCAACTAAAATAATTTTATGGTTGGTGGTCACCACAATATGAGGAACTGTATTAAAGGGTCACAGCATTAGGAAGGTTGAGAACCACTGCACTAGAAGATTTTGAGCAGAAAAGCAGCATGATATGACATGTTTTAACAGGATCACTCTGGCTGTTATGTTAAAGACAGACTATAGATAATTTTACCAAATTACTTTTACAAAGTGGATATGCCAATTTAAATTCTAACTGCTCATTAGCAGGGTATGAAAATTTAGACAACTTAATGTGTTCAACCAGATGCCTTTCCATTTCTGTTATAAATTTTAGTTGAGTTTTTATTAAGAATGTTTTGTATATATTTGACTATCCTTAGCAATTAGCACAATACCTGAAACACAAGGCATTCAGCAAATGTTGGGTGAATAAATCTGAAGATTTTTTCAGAGGTCAAAAGCATTTTAGATATCACTGGATCAAACCCTTACATTTTACAGCTAAATATACTGAGGTCCAGGGTAGTAAATATCTTACAGTCCCAAAGTTAATTAGTGTTAAAGTGGGGATTAGAAATCCAAGTGTCCTGACTTCAAGTCACTTTTTCAATTCACTTGTGTTTCCTAAACTTAACTGATCATATAATATCCTGGGGATCACCTATGTGCTTGAATAAGAATCAGAAAGTTCAAGAGAGTGCTTCCCAAATTAGTACATAAAAATCACCTGGGAATCTTGTTAAAATGATTCTTATTCAATACGTCTGTGGATGGGGGTCTAAATTTCAGCATTCCTAATGAGCTTCTTCGTACAGGTGATAAAAACATTCTTGCTTCCTGAACCACATTTTGGGGATTGAGGCTCTAAAGAAGCTATAAAAGTAATGGCTAAATATATATGCTCGCTACAAGATATACACATGAATTCTTTCTTTCTTTACTATAAAATCTAAATATAAACTTGCTCTATTATTTACCTTTTTGAGAAAAAATTAAAATATTGATGGACAGTTGCTAATTTCCTCTTAACCTATTCTGTAAATGACATTGTCTCCACATTAGTAAAGTAGTAATAAGTTCTTTGTTCATTTGATTAACCATGTGATAGGTGCTGGGATCAAAGAGTGACAATGAAAGAAACCTTCTATGTAAAGATTTAAATTTCACAAAACTTTATTTCTAGCTCGTGTCACATGCAAACTATTTTCAAATTTTAATTTTCTCTGCAGCACATCTCTAAATTGTAGGATTAGAAAACATCATAGTTTTCTGAAACATAACTGATCTTGTAATTTACTATTTGTTCACCTGTGACTTGTGCATAAATAACACAAGCTAAAGAGAAGGAAGGAAACAAAAAAATAATTACACTGAGATGAATTAGCTGAGGCTTAGGATAATACCTAACACCCACTGCAATGCCTTTATCAGTAAGGAACACTGGCACCCAAGCAGAACCAAGTTCCAATCTCTCTAGACATGTGACCTAGTGTAATTCTTAGAACTTCACAGTAAGATAGGGAATGGCATCTTACAACATGTCCTCGGGAATCCAGAGGCAGAGCATAACTTCCTACTTGCATTTTGCGAATACAACATGTTTACTTCACATTCTAGAGATGATTTTGGCTCACAAAGATTATATTTTGAACTCAGGTAATTTTAAAAAGTTATTCTAGCCCGGCTGGTGTGGTTCAGTGTATGGGCATCAACCCATGCACCAGGAGGTCACCAGTTCAATTCCCAGTCAGGGCACATGCCCAGATTGTGGGCCAAATCCCCAGTGGGGGGCATGCAGGAGGCGGCCAGTCGATGTTCTCTCTCATCAATGTTTCTCTCTCTCTCCCTCCCTCTCCTTTCCTCTAAAATCAATAAAGGAAAAAAAAAATGTTTAAGTTATTCTAAGTAAAGAAACTATTCTTACTTGTGGGGTTGTTAGGGTTGTAGTGCTACTCATTGTGTCTTCCATTTGTTGTGTTTGAACATCCAGTGTTTCAAACTGGTGTTCAAATTTGTCCATCAGGGCAGAAATCTGTAAAAAGAAATATGGCCATAAGAAAAACTTACATTGAAAAGATGCTATCTGAAACATCAAATTTTTTTTTTCTTACCTTTTCAAGGTTCATACTCCTCAATGTAGCATCCATAGATTTAACTACACCTGCCATGGACTTGGTTACCTATTGGGAGTATGAAAAAAAAAAAAAAAAAAAGATTGAGCATGCTGTAAGTAATCTCAAAATTTGGGTAGTCTCTTAAATATATTCCTTATAGACCAACTTATAAAATTTGTCTACCCTTTCCTTAACAGTCAAAATACAATATGTATTTCTGCTCTTTGACTCTTCATTGGAAGATAACTCACAGACCTTAGTTTAAAGGCCATTGCCAAAACCATTTTCCTCACTAAGTGTTCTGACTATGTCTCTCTTGCCCATTAAAGGCCTTTACTAGCACCCTACAGCACCTTGCAATGGTTTCAGATTTCTGGCAACTCCTAATAATCTCATTAAACTTAAATCAAGAGTTCCTCCTGTTTACAGATATTAAGCCTTACCTTGCCCATTGTTACAGCAGTTTGAACTCTGGCTGCCACAGCATCAACCCTAGCACTCATTCTCAAGAAATTAATTGCTTGGTTCTTCTGGCGGATTGCATTTTCAGCATGTATTCTTGCAACTTCTGTATTGCCTTTCTGAATAGCCTGTTTTACACAAAGCAAGAGTACATGGTGATGAAGAGAAAGAGCAAAAGTAAATATCGGCAAAAATAAAGGGAGCAAAAGATATTTTAAAAAGAGGAAAACAACTCCAAATTAACTTATTTTAATAATATTTAAAAGCTTTCATAATTAGTTTTTAAGGAAATAAAATGGGAATTTATAGTTCTTTAATTTTAAAATTATATTTTTAAAATTCTCCATAATGCCATCACTGAGGCACTACCACTGCTACTATTTTAGTGTATAGTATTCCAAGTACGTAAGCCTACTTATGACAATATAAATTTATTACACAGTAAATGTATAGAGCATACTGTTTTCCCACCTAATTAAGAAAAAAACCTCATCTTTTTAAGTCAAATATACAACCACACCATCATTTGTAAAGGGTGGTAGTATGAATGTGCCACTAACCAGGGCTTTCCTTGTGGTTGGTACACACTCTACAGAGAGTACATAAAACGACTTTGGATGTTAGACAGACAAGCATCTTCACTTTAATTATGTATTTATTTAACTATACTATTTTAAATGAATATAACTAACACAGACCCATGCCTTCTTGCTCTAATAGCTTTTGGCCAAGTTAAAAGTCAATTTGGAAGAAAATATTAAATAGCTCAGATGGACCTCCAAAAAAGCAAAATGGAGAAGTTATAGAAATGACAGAAATTTGAGAACATGTATCAATGAAGAACCTGGAAGGCACACAGTACAATATACAGATCTTGTATCATAGAATTGTACACTTGATTTTTTTTTATCCTCACCCGAGGACATTTTTTGTTCAGACAGAGTGGGAGGGAGAGAGGAAGAGAGAGACAGAAACATCGACATGAAAAGGACATATCACATATCGAGTGGCTGCCACCCGCACGACCAACCAGGGCCGGGGACAAACTGCAACTGAGGTACGCGCCCTTAGCAGGAACCGAACCCGGGTCTCTCTGGACTGCAGGCCAACACTCTAACAGCTGAGCCAAACCGACCAGGGCTAGAAACCTATATGTACACTTGAAACCTATATGATCCTATTAACCAATGTCACTTCAATAAACTTAATAAAACATTTTTTAAAAAGATCCCTTAATTCTGGGAATTTAGTTTGTTTCTAATTCTTCAATAATACAAAAAGCAATGTAATAGAGATACTAAGACATGCAACTTCACACTTTCCAATTTTTTTACTAGTTAACATGCATCACCACAGTTATTTTTCTTGTAATGAGAACTTTAAAGATCTTAATTTTCATAAATACAGTACAGTATTACTAACTATAGTCACCATGTTGTATATTACATCCCAGAACTTATTTATAACCAGAAGTTTGTATCTGTTGACCACTTTCACCCATTTCACTCATCTCCCATCTCTCTCCTCTGGACTCCACCAATCTGTTCTTTTTGTCTATGAGCTGATTTTTTTAAGATTACACATAAGTGAGATGATATGTATTTGCCTTTCTATGTTTGAATTATTTTCACTTAGCATAAGGCCCTCAAGGTCTATCCACACTATTGCAAATGGAAGGATTTCCTTCTTTATTTAATGGCTTTTTTATTGTTGATTTTGCTTTGATCCTTTTAGTGTAATACATCATAGCCATGGGCACAACTATGCTGATCCTGTTAACTCTCCTAGCAAACACACAAACACAATAGACATTAATGCTATGCACTGTTTAGATATAAAACTTCAGAGACTATAGAAATTAAAACGAGCCAAAAAACATTAAATATTATTCTTATATATAGGCTTTATACTTCTAAATAAGAGTAGTTTGGGTTACAAACCAAAGGGCAGTCTTTAGATGTAGGTAACCCAACAGTTATACTCTGTATGTAAGCCATACTTGAACATACAAGTCATAATAAACAAAAAAGGGCCATTATTAACTATGTCAGATAATAAATAATTTATTTAAATACATATTTGGTTTAGAATGCTAAAGCCAGTAATCTTTCTTCAATGTAAATAAACTGAAACATCCACTCTTTCATGATTGTGTTCGTATCATGAGTTTAAAAATATTAAAAATAGCTTACCTTTTTAATCTTGGCCTTTTCAGCCTTTTCTTCTTTATCACATTTCTTGGCATTCCTATTAAGCTCTTTTGCAGCAAACTTTAAGTTAAATAGGTGTTCTGTAAATATATGTTAAGGCTACTCAAAAAAGTAATTTCCTAATAATTAGATGTTAAATTTATAAAACTTATCAGATAACATTACGCTATTTAAACCAACTATTCAGAAAGCATTTGAGACAACAGAAAACTATTATTAGTCCACATTTTAATTTAAAAACTTTATTAAATTAAAAGCAAGAAAATAATTATTAAAAGTAGCAACTTTATAGTAGAGAAACCTGACAGACACAACTTCACCTTCGAAAAAACCACCAGTGAAAAGACATTTCAACATCATTTACCTTCTAAAATGATGAACTGAGAAGGGTACAGCATCACTTGTATGGTGTTGTTGCTAAAAACAAAACCTTTATCTACATGAGAAAACATCAGACAATCCTGAACTAAGACATTCTATGATATAACCGATCAGTGTACTCTTCAAGTGTAAAGTTCATGAAAAGCAAAGAAAGACTTAGGAACTGGCACAGAGTGGTGAAGACTAAGGATGCAGACTCACTAAATAGAATGTGGGATCGTGCATTGGATTTTGGAACAGAAAAAAAGACATTACTGGAAAACCTGATGAAATCCAAGAGTTGTAGTTAATAATACTGTACTGATGTTGACTTATTTTTCTTGATAATTACACCATGGTTTTGTGAGATATTAACATTAGAAGATTGGTAAAAGGAATAAAATAACTGTGCACTATTTTTGCAATATTAAGTCTAGAACTATTTTAAGATTAAAATTTTAAATTAAAAAAATAACAATAGAAAGAAAAGTGCTCTGTTTCAATGAGCGAAACCACAAATCTTTCATTTTTATGACAAAAACAAATATGAAGTATATGCACATGAATATGACAATGCAACAAGTTTGTGTCATGATTAAATCCCTGGTTAGAAGTGTTTTCTGTGCTTTAGAAAATGGTAAAATCTACTTTCTCTTTAACCTTGATTCTATATTTCTTCAGGACATGTATAGACATGAGGTTCATCTAAGTTTTTTGAAAGATACACATATAGCACCTAGCTTAAAGGGCTGACTTTTGCACTGATTATACCACTATCAGAAAACAAGGATTTGCCCTGGTCAGTTTTTCTCAGTGGTTAGAGCATCGACCCATGGACCAGAGAGTCCTGGGTTCAGTTCCCGCTAAGGCACATACCTCAGTTGCAGTTTGTATCCGGCCCTGGCAGGGGTTGTGAGGATGGCAGCCAGTTGATGTGTCTCACATCAATGTTTCTCTCTCTTCCTCCCTCTCTCCCTCCAGCTCTATCTGAAGATAAATGCAAAAATGTCCTTGGGTGAAGATTAAAAAAAAAAAAAGAAAAGAATTATTTTACAGTTTTTATTTACCAAAGCTAAGTCATAAATTAAGTTACCTTGTTCATCTCTCAGTGGCTTCATGGTTCTTATTTAACACCTTATTTATGAATAATAAGAGGGATAACTTTGCTACTGTATTTTTCATCAATGACAGATATAACTAGAACTGTTAAGAAAATTAGTATATGTGCATGAATTTCTGGATAATCTTAATGTAAAATATACTTTACATTTATAAGTAAGATTTGTCTATTTCAGCTACATGACTGAAAGTTATGCTCCTTTAATAAATCGGGTTTCTCAACCTAAGCACTATTGGTATTTTGGGTCAGAAAATACTTTGCTGTAGGGCCGTCCTGTGAACTCTAGGAAGTTTATGAGCATCCCTGGCTTATATCCTCTAGATAACATAAGCACCCTATACCCTCCAGCTGGAATAATAAAAATGTCTCCAAACGTTGTCAAATGTTACCTGGAGAAGGGGGCGAAATCAAACCCTGTTGAAAACCTGAATCAATAATATAATGGAAATAAAAAAAGAAAAAGAAATGAAATTTTCATTTCCCAAATCATCTCCCAAATAGAATCACTGTCTCTGTAGAACAAGTCACTATAAACACTGACTTCAGTAGCAAATTATTTTAGATCAATTTCTGTAATTAATATATTCTTCATTGTTTCTAAAAAATAATTTCAACTCCCTTAAACCTGAAATTTACTATGAACTGCAAATACTGAGGACTGTCTGAATTATTTAATATTAATAGATAAGATTGATCATGGTACAAAATATTGACCCAAAAAACAAATCCATTACAAAAGTCCATTCAGTATAAAAAAAACTTTTCCCCCTTCATTCTAAGAAGACATGAACCATTCCCACAAATATGGAAGCTTAGAGATTTAGAAAAACACCTGGAAATACTGGATAAACTACAACAAATGTCCTTTTAAATACAGAACTGAGCTTACAAAATAGGAAAGGAAATCCTCAGGATACAAAACCAAAAAGGAAATAGTAGTAGTAGTAGGTAGGCAATGAAGCCCTTGAAACCAAAGTTTCCTATTGGGCCTACACAAGATGAAATGCCAGAACTGAACTTTCTGAGCAAAGCTAGAACCCCTGAAGGTTCAACATTAGCATAAGGGTAGGATAGAAAAATGTCTTATGAGCCTAGTAAAGGAGATAAGAGGGTTAACTGTTATTATCAGCCTTGGTTCATAGAAGGGGTGGAGCAAAGGAGATAAAAGAAAATTAGATAAAACTAAAGAGAAAATTAGCAAACTGAATACACATCTGAACTGAAGCCTTCCCAAGGCGAGTGGAGTAAAACTTAGACACCATGGCCTTGGAGAGGAACCTGAAACAGGCCCTTTTGGATCTGCATACCCTGGGTTCCACTCTCGCAGACCCTCATCTCTGTAACTTCCTGGAGAGCCACTTCCTGGATGAGGAGGTGAAACTCGTCAAGAAGGTGGACAACTACCTCATTAACCTCCGCAGGCTGGCTGGCCCCCAAGATGGGCTGGGGGAGTGTCTCTTCAAAAGGCTCACTCACCCCCAAGCAGGACTAGGAGCCTCTGGAGCCCAGAGGAGGGGCCCTGTGCATTCCCCTGGTGTCTGGCTTTTGCCTGAGCCTCGCACCGAAACCACTAGCTGTTCTTTTAAACACTCTGGAGCCCTCTCCCATGCATTGGATCAGATGGAAACAATAAACCTTTTTGCAGCCAAAAAAATTAAAATTGACAGTGAAATGAGTAGAATGTGGCTTGTGGGATGTAGAGCTAATACCATTCTCAGATGGAATTCTCTAGTCTTAAAATTTCACATTAGAAAGGAAGGCAGACTAAAAATTAACACAATAAGCATTCATCTCACAAAATGAGAAAAACTACAGAATAAACTCAAAAGCAGCATAAAGAAGGGGAAAAAATTTTCAGAAAAAAAAAAAACAGAAACAAAGATTTAATAGAAAAGATAAAAAAGGTAAGTTCTCTGTAAAGACTAATAACATTAGCATAGCTGATCAATAAAGAAGAGAAGGGCCCTGCCGGTTGGCTCAACGGATTGAGAGTTGCCCCATAGACTGAGAAGTCCCAGTTTGATTCCCCATCAGGGCACATGCCCAGGTTTCAGGCTTGAGCCTGAAGGCAGCCAATCAATGTATCTCTCTCACATCGATGTTTCTATCTCTCCCTTCCTTTCTCTCTAAAAAATATCAATAAAAACATTTTAAAAAATAAATAATAAAGAAGAGACGGTATAAACAGTGTAGGAACGAAAAAGAAGAAACAACTGAAGATAAAATAAAGATATTTGAAAACAACAAATTATGAACATAATGGCAATACACTCAAAGTCTGACAAAATGGACAACCCTAGAATTGTAACGAAGAACTAATAAATAAATAAATCTAAATTCCTGATTCAATGTTAAACTACTTTAATGTAAATTATTTAATTAACAACAGACACAGCCTACATCGTTTTACTGGTGCATTACATCAATCGTTTTAGAAAAAAGCAATTCCTACCTCATACAAACTCTTCCAAAAAACAGAAAAAAGAAGTAACACATCTCAAATCTGATATCCAAATCAAAATAGAATACTATATGTTGGACAATTACAGACTAAACTCATGAACATGGATGCAAAAATATTAAAAATATTAGAAATCAAACAATGTATTAAATCTACCTCATATTCATGATGGGTTTATCCTAGAAATAAAAGGGTAATTTAGTATTTAAAAAAAATCTATCCACGTATTTTTAACCACATTTGGAGATTAAAGAAGAAAAATAATAAACATTAAATAAAACCCAACATTTAATGGATTCAGCAAACTAACATTCAGATGAATGATTCATGACCACAATCCTAGCAAACAATGAATGGAGAAAAATCTCCTTAACCTGAAAAAAAAAAGCATATATATCAAAAATCTAGCCCTGTCTGGTGGGGTTCAGTTGGTTGGAGTGTCATCCCTTGCACCAAAAGGTTTCGGGTTTGAGCCCTGGCCGGTTTGGCTCAGCGGTTGGAACATCGGCCTGCGGTACAGAGAGACCCGGGTTCGGTTCCCGCTAAGGGCACGTGCCTCGGTTGCAGTTTGTCCCCGGCCCTGGTTGGTCGTGCGGGTGGCAGCCACTCGATGTGTCCCTTTCACATAGATGTTTCTCTCTCTCTCTCTCTTCCTCTCTCTCCCTCCCGCTCTATCTGAACAAAAAATGGAAAAATGTCCTCTGGTGAGGATAAAAAAAAAAAAAAAAATGGTTTCGGGTTTGATACCCAGTCAGGGCACATACCTAGGTTGTGGGTTTGATCTCCAGTGGGGACGCATATGGGAGGCAACCAATGGATGTTTCTCTCATACATAGATGTCCCATTCTCTATCTCTCTCTCCTGCCTGCCTGTCTGCCTTCCTTCCCTTTCTCCTTCTCTCTCTCTAAAATCAATAAACATGACTGAGAATGCCAGAGGGAAGGGGGGTGCGGGAAGAGATTAACCAAAGAACTTATGCATATATGCATTACCCGTGGACACAGACATAGGTGGTGAAGGCCTGGGGTGGGGCAGAAACTGGGTGGAGGGGGGCAATGGGGGAATAAGAGGGGGACATCTGTAATACTCTCAACAATAAATATTTTTTAAAATCAATAAGCAAATCCTCAAGTGAGGATTAAAAAGAAAAATCTACAGCAAACATTATCCTTAATAGTGAATACTTACAATTCCTTTTTAAATCAGTTAAAAGATAATCCTGCTATAACTTTTTTTTTTTTTAAATTAAGCTCTGGAGTCCTAGCAAGCATGATAATAAATAAAAGGTATATGAATTACTTTGAAAATCATCAAAGCATCATTACTTTCAGATGATACAAAGATCTACATAGAAAAGTCAAAGTACACATATTCTTCCACCTAGAAATCTCACTCCTTGGCATATACCCTAGACATATTGTACACTCTTTTTTGTACAGTTTTGGGGGGCAAGGGTTAGTGTTACATGATTTTTGTACAAAATTCATTTCACATGAAAGGTTAGGTTAATTAAGAATATATAGATACCATGAGATGGTACCTTTAAATTTTAAAAACAAGGGTTGTTTGAAAACCAAAAGAAAAAAATACCCAAAGCATGTATTATATAACATTACTATATGGGCAACACCGTTAAGGGTGTGTAGCAATTGTAACTTGGATATGTTGAACCTGTTTGTGCTTAACATAAATTTAATATACAATAACTGCTCCCCAAGACTGTTTTCAAACCTTCTGTTCCTAAACTTTAAGTATACACCTCAGAGATACTGTGAATTCGGTTCCAGAGTACCACAATAAAGCATGTTTCACAATAAAGCAAGTCATAATCTCTTTGCTGGTAGAGGATCTTTGCCTTCAATTTTTTTTAAATGCGGCATCTGTGAAGCACAGTAAAGTGAAGCACAATTAAACGAGGTATGCCTGTACTCTGTGGAAACATAATTTGAAGTGTGCAGTGTCAGTAGCTACTTACTCTGCATTCCCATGCTACTTTATATATCATGATGAGTATTTTTCTGTACTTCATTAGAATTCCATGTCTGATTTTTCACCTAGACTATGGACACCCTGAGAGTAAGAATGAGTCCCAATCATCTATATATCATGAGTTTAATGCAGTGTCTAACAGAAGTACGCACTAGCTTTAAGTAAATAAATAGTAGAAAAGTATTTTGCAGGGGTACATGACATACTGGGACAAAAGCACTGCTGATGTTGGGCAAGAGGACTCAATTACCCATTTACAGTTATAAATAAGTTTATATTAATACAATACGGTTTATAGTATTAGGATTCCACATAAAAAGGGGGGGGGGCTCTGCTGCTAAAAGAGTCAGAAAACCAATG